TTTCAAAGTGCTGGAACAAACAATCCCAAAATTTGTATGGAATCAGAAAAGACCCCGAAATGCCAAGGAAATGTTGAAAAAGAAAACAAAGCTGGGGCATCATATTGCCCGATTTCAAGCTATATTACAAATCAGTGATCACCAAGACAGCATGGTACTGGCACAAAAACAGACATATAAACCAGTGGAACAGAATAGAGAGCCCAGATATGGACCCTCAACTCTATGGTCAAATAATCTTCAACAAAGCAGGAAAAAACATGCAATGGAAAAAAAACAGTCTCTTCAATAAATGGTCCTGGGAAAATTGGACAGCCACATGAAGAAGAACGAAACTCGATCATTCTCTAACACCATACACACAGATAAATTCAAAATGGATGAAAGACCTCAATGTGAGACAGGATTCCATCAAAATCCTAGAGGAGAACATAGGCAGTAACCTCTTTGACATCGGCCACAGCAACTTCTTTCAAGATACATCTCCAAAGGCTAGTGAAACAAAAGCAAAAATGAACTTTTGGGACTTCATCAAGATAAAAAGCTTCTGCACAGCAAAGGAAACAGTCAACAAAACTCAGAGGCAACCCACGGAATGGGAGAAGATATTTGCAAATGACACTAGAGAAAAAGTGCTGATTTCCAAGATCTATAAAGAACTTCCCAAACTCAACACCCCAAAAACAAATAATCAAGTCAAAAAGTGGGCAGAAGACATGAACAGACACTTCTCTGAAGAAGACATACAAGTGGCCAACAGACACATGAAAAAATGTTCATCATCATTAGCCATCGGGGAAATTCAAATCAAAACCACATTGAGATACCACCTTACACCAGTTAGAATGGCAAAAATTGACAAGGCAAGAAACAACACATGTTGGAGAGGTTGTGGAGAAAGGGGAACCCTCTTACATTGTTGGTGGGAATGCAAGTTGGTAACCACCTTGGAAAACATTGTGGAGGTGCCTCAGAAAATTAAAAATAGAGCTACCCTATGACCCAGCAATTGCACTACTGGGTATTTACCCCAAGGACACAGATGTAGTAAAAAGAAGAGCCATATGCATCCCAATGTTCATAGCAGCAATGTCTGCAATAGCCAAACTGTGGGAAGTGTCAAGATACCTTTCAACAGACGAATGGATAAAGAAAATGTGGTCTCTATATGCAATGGAATATTACTCAGCCATCAGAAAAGATGAATACCCAACTTTTACATCCACATGGATGGAACTGGAGGAGATTATGCTAAGTGAAATAAGTCAAGCAGAGAAGGTCAATTATGATATGGCTTCACTTATTTGAGGAACATAAGGAATAGCATGGAGGACCTTAGGAGAAGGAAGGAAAAAATGAAGGGGGGGAAATCGGAGGGGGAGCGAATCATGAGAGACTATGTACTCTGAGAAACAAACTGAGGGTTTTAGACGGGAGGGGGGTGGGGGCATGGGTTAGCCCAGTGACGGGTATTAAGGAGGGCACATACTGCATGGAGCAATGTGTGTTATATGAAAACAATGAATCATGGAACACTACATCAAAAACTAATGATGTATTTTGTATGGTGACTAACATAACATAATAAAATTAAATTAAGAAAATAAATAAAGAATAAAATTATTTGAATTCACATTTTTCCAAAGAAGACATAGAGATGGCCATCAGGCACATGAAAAGATGTTTAACATTTCTTATCATCAGGGAAATACAGATCAAAACCACAATGAGGTATCATTTCATACCTGTCAGATCGATGATTATCAAAAAGACAAAAAAATCACTAGGGTTGGCAAGAATATAGACAAAAGGGAACCCTTGTGCACTGTTGGTGGGAATGTAAATGGATGCAAGCACAATGGAAAATAGTATAGAGGTTCCTCAGAAAATTAAAAATAGAACTACCATATGATCCAGCAATTCCACTACTGTGTACTTATCCAAAGAAAAAAACATCAATTCAAAGAGATATATGTAACCCTATGTTCATTACAGTATTAACCAAAGACATGGAAGTAACCTATATGTCCATTGACACATGAATGGATAAAGAAGTTGTGATAAATAAATACAGTCAGAACCATGAAAAAGAATGAAATCTTGCCATTTGTGACAACATAGATGGACCTAGAAGGTACTAAGCTAAGTGAAATAAGTCAGTCAGAGAAAGACAGATACAGTATCATTTTTCTTATATGTGGAATCTAAAAAAACAAAACAAATGAACAAACAAAAAAATAGAAATGAACTTATAGATACAGGAAACAAATTATTGGTTATCAGAGGGGGAAGGGCTGGGGTGGGTGAAATAGGTGAAGGAGATTAAAAGGTATAAACTTCCAGTTATAAAATAAATACGTAATAGGGACATAAGGTACAGCATAGGGAATATAATCTGTAATATTGTAGTAACTTTGTATGGTGACAGATGGTAACTAGACTTATTGTGGGGATCATTTTGTAATGTATAAAAATACTGAACCGCTATGATGTATACCTTAAACTAATAAGATATGGTATATAAATTATAGTTCAATAAAGAAAGAAAGAAAGAAAGAAAGAAAGAAAGAAAGAAAGAAAGAAAGAAAGAAAGAAAGAAAGAAAGAAAACATATATTTCAATTTTACACCAAACTTCTCTATATCACAAAAGTCCTCTCTGCTGCCTCCTGTATTTTTTTTTTTTTTTGCACAAATAAAAAAAATGCGAACATCTACTGGCTGCTTACAAGATCCTTTACACAGCCTATTTCCTTTGGTTCTCACATCACCAGATCAGTACTATCATTATCATTACTATGTTACAAGTGAGAAAAGTAAGGCTTACAGAACTAAGTAATTTGCCCAAATTCTAATGACCATCAAGTTGTGCAAATACATTTTTAACCAATTTTTATCATTCTAGACCCCAAAAACTTGCCACTGTGTTGTGCTGGGCCCCTCTCTCCATGCCATTCCCCTAAGTCATCCCATATGCATGTAGGCTGTACCTTGAGGAATTTTTCTATTATTTTGTAACATAAGTAGAGACAAGGAAAATGGAAGTTTTCACTAGAATGTCATTGTTTTATATGGCTGGAGGGAGATACACTGAGAAAAGATGATTAATGAACAATGGGATAATCAGTCCTCAGGTTCTAAAAACAATATCCAGATAATGACCAGAATTTTTTGTTCTTAGCCTTTGTTTCATTTTATCAAATAAAACAAAAGTATTGTATATCTTTAAACATCATTCTTACTGCATATTGGGAGAAAATGATATACTTATAACTCATCAGACAATGAGCCCCTTGACGACGGAGTAATATTGTACCTTGGCACCAAGCATAGGAGTGTTTGTTGAATTAATAATTTTTTAACAATATTCTTCACCTGACAGCATGGAGACTGTGCATAATGTAACATTTGTTATACTCTTCTTAAACCCAGTATTCAGGGCCTCCAGACTCTCAGCTGGCCTGGGAACGTCCCCACTTACAAAAAGAATTTATCAAATTTTTATCATCATTTTTGCCATCAACCCAGAGCTGAAGCCAGAGTTCTCCTAACTTTTGGCTGATGATGCCTGCATTTGGATGCAACTGATGTTGCAGAGATTCCATATTCACTCTTCATTCTTTCTGTTGCTAAAAAAAAAAAAAAAAGAGAGAGAGAGAGAATTTAATGACTGTTGGCCAGATAATATGTAAATAGGCATAGTTCTTGCCAAAATGAACATTCTAAATTCTCACTACAGAATCCACAGAGGGAAAACAAGATTTAGTCAGAACACCCAAGGCAGGTTGTTTCAGGTGAGTGAAAACAGATAAGTTGGTTACTATATGAAAGTGCATGTCCACCCACAAACTATTCAACCAACAGCCCCAGCCACCTCCCCTCTCCAAGTTGGCAGAAGACCTGCTTGTGAAATCAAGGACAAAGATCAGATCCACACAAGACAATGGTCCCAAAGATTCTAAATTACACCAAATTTTGATATTTATCAAAATGAATTATTTTCCATTGTCTGAAGGGAGTTACAGGGTTTGGGAGGAATAAGACAAAGAAGGAAACTAGTTATTCTAAAGGTTATTCTGCTGTTATTTCAAGAGTTTCATCTGGAGAACTTCATTTATACAAAGCAAGAATAAATGTTTCATAATGAAGTTATGGAGGCATACAGAGAGGTGGGTGGCACAGGGTGCTAATTTAAAAGACACTTATCTCCAATGATATGAGTATGTTAATTTTCTGCTAAAATGTTCATATCCTTCTGGTGCTGGCCTGAGTGTAAAGGTGGTGAAATGAATCCCCATAAATCTTAGTTCACATCCAGTGGGGATGTTGATTTTTCACATTCAGCCATTTCATATGTATAAAATCAATAGAGATCCTTCCTTCTCTGCAGTTTAACCGTTAATTGGCTCAGCCTAGTTTTAGAAACAATTATGAAAATAACCAAAATGAAGGCTCTTTCCTCACTAAAATTCAATTTTCTTTTTTTTTTAGAGCACATTTTACTTTTATTTTATTTTTTATTTTTTGAAAGTTAATTCCAGTATAGTTAAGATACAGTGTTATATTAGTTTCAGGTGTAGAATATAGTGATTCAACAATTCTGTACATTACTCAGTGCTCATCCTGACAGGTGTACTCTTTTTTTCTTTCCAAAATTTTATTTTTTTTTTCACTTAGAATCATTACTTTTCTAAAATTTTGTTCAGTTAGCCAACATATAGTACTAAGATTCAATTTTCAGCTAGCATAGACCATATGCAATTGAAATAAGAAAACTGCTCTTTTCAGGGCACCTGGCTGGTTCAGTTGGTAGAGCATGTGACTCGATCTCAGGGTTGCGAATTTAAGCCCTACATTGGGCATAGAGCTGACTTAAAAATATAAATTAAGAAAAAATAATAAATGCTCTTTTTCAACGGTGAGAGCCAGAAATCTCAGTTCTGGATCTAACCTTATCAGTCTCTTGCATTCTCTGGGTTTGTGATTTACTGTCAAAAAAGAAGCTTTGCGCAGTGGCAGTATTGTAGCCAATGAGGTTTATCCGAGGCACGATTATTGCTAATTGAAAACTTTTCCCCATACTGTCAAAAAAGATAATATCTTTTCTATGTGTTTTCTTTCAAATAATATTTTCCATTTTTTCAAAGACTTTTCCTTTAAAATGTATCACAAGTCTCAAATTGATCAAATCCAGATTTTATGATTTTATATTAAAAATTTAAGAACTCCAAAACATATTATTATTCTGTTCCAAAAAACATACTATTCCTTTACCTGCCTCCATTCGCTAGTTGTTTTTAAGTCTGATTCTTTTTGCAATCCCCTCTTAGTCATTAATGCTTTCCATTTTAAACCCATTGTTGAGAATTTTTGGAAACAAAATTCTCAGAGAAGAAAATTACTTCTGCTGTAGATTATCTATTGCTGCATAACAATTTATCTCAAAATTTAGTGGCCTAAAAAAAAAAAAGTCATTTACTGCTTGAGGATTACAATATAGGCAAGTTTGGTGGGGACTTACCTTTGCTTTTTGCACTCCTGGTGTCACAGTTTCTCAACTGGGGCTCTAGTGGTCACATCCAAGGTGGCTCACTTACATAGCTGGCAGGTTGGTGCTGCCTGTAAGGGAGTTCAGCAGGACTTTGGCTAGGCTTTTCATTCATGTCAGCCTCTTCATGAACTGCTAGCATAATGCTAATTCTCACCATAACAGCTTTCTCAAAAAAGAAGATGCTGAGGCTGCAGGTATTCTTTAAATATTAACTTAAAATTTCCAAAACTCACTTCTTCCATATCTTTATTGGTCAAAGCAGTCATAGACCCACTCCAGAATCAAAGGGAAAAGACATAAGCTCTTGATGCAAGAAACATTGTGTACACAAAAGGAGGAATGAAATTTTTAAAGTTCTTTTTGGACACTAGTTCCCTCGGTCTGCCATCTAGCCACAATCCTTGTGCTACACATGCAAAAATATACACATACATACATACATACATACATACATACATGCTAACCTTTCTCAAGATCCCAAAAATACTGCTCTCATAAAATCATCAGCTCAAATTTCAGGATCTTGTGATCCAAATCACAAGATACATTTCTTCCATTGTGGCTCCTTCGTTGTAGCTTCTGGGGTGGTTTATCTAAATTTGAAGAATTTGTGAACTAAGGATACAAATTCTCAGCTTCATATACACCCAACGTAGGACAAACAGAGGATCATCACTGCCATTCCTCTCATTTCAAAGGGAAGGAGAAGGAGGAAGCACACAGTCACTGGTGGAGAGCAATTGTGAAATCTAGCTGGACCCACAGCACCAGTTGATTAGGGCCCACTGCAGCTACCTGGGAGTAGTTCTCTGTGATTCTTGACTCTATCCTTTAAATAATCCTTCATTTCCCATAAGAAATGGCTTATGTTGTAGCTAAAATAATTTCTCAACTTGCTTCCTGCCCATAGGACCTTGAAGGCCCAGAGTCCTCTTTTTAATATAAACTGGCTTTATGCCTTTCAGTCCAAGATGATACAATTTCTTTAAAACTTTTGTGAGTTTCTCATGTATAAAATTAGACCAAAGTCACAATCACACTCCATTAGACAGAAGCCATACCACATTTATTTACTGAGATAGGCATTTCTCTACCTTGTGCTCCATGTGAGATTGATATAGGAGAATAATCTTGAGATTCTTAGAAGCCCAAATGTCCAGTCGACAGGTGTACAAGGCACACCTTGATATTATTAGAAGAATTTTTGTCCAGCTTAAAGACACCACCTTAAATATCTCTTGTCTGAGCTAAGACTAACTTACTCTAAGGGTATGTTAGGCTGTAAGTGCTCTGGATTTTATTTTTTCCTTAAGGCCATTTATTACTTTCAAAATATCTTGCTATCTGGAGAAGCTGAGAAGGATAAACTACTTTATTTCCAACACAGTAAATTCTGGCTTCTTTGTATTTCCTCTAAATTCTGCTTGAAATTAAATAGTTGCCCTCTAACTCATGTAGTTTCTCCTATACTTTATTATAATCAGCTGAATGTAGCCAGTTATCCCCTACAAAATTCTGCTTTGAAATCTTAGACCCATAAGTTCATTAGGTATCCATCTAACTTCCATTTGCTGAAGCCTACAATTTCACCAAATGTTTCATCACCATATAACATGGGTCCCCCTTTCCTCAGTCTTATAAAAATTTTCTTACTGTCCTTCAAGCCTTCATAATGGTCTTTTTTTTTCTTTTTGAAACCTTCAGACTTCTGCAACAACTCAAACCCAAAGCCACATTCTTTAAGGTTTCTCTTACTGAGGACCCATATTTTTAGCTGTTAAATTCTTCAGTCAGCATTCAGAGATACAAAGTCATTATGTGTATCATTAAATAAGGGATGTATTGTAGAAATAAGATCCTACAAAATTTCAGGAAAGACTGGAGAAGTAGGAATCTGAAAGGAGGACTTGAGGGATAAGAATAAAGTCCCCAAGCAGTCCTCTTGAAGCCAGTGTGCCCAGCTGCCAGAGCAGGGTCATCAGAGAGAACAGATGGGGAGTCAGTGGTAGGTTTGGCCTCTGCATCTGATCTGTGTGCCTGGATCACTGGGAGTTGGCCAGACCAGCAGTCCAGAAGAGGACCTGATGATACCTGGTGGAAGAGATTAAGACAAGATGGGACCTGCTGGCACCTGTCTCTCTCACTGCCTCCCACCAGGATGACCTTCAGAACATCACAGCTCCTGCTTGTTTCTGCCTGCTCAATTCCATTCAGCTTTCTCTTTTAGCCAACTCTGATCTGGAATCAGTGAAGGGGGTTCTGTAAAATGGAGTTCCAGTTTAGCCAAGGTGATGTAGTACACCCCACTTCAACTTCAACCCAGTGAGATCTGGGTATATGTGGTGAAAGTTAAAATGTTCTCTGGATTATTCTTCTGGATATCAAAATTGTTGTCAGTAGTAACCAGTTTATTTCTCTTGCTTTCTTTCTGAAGTGAGGTGGTCCTTGGGGATAAAAGCCATCTTGACCAGCAGATGAGTTATGTGGACCTCTCTTGAATGTGCTAAAATCATCCTTCTTCAAATTTTGTCACTACCATAAACTAAACAAGACTTAAATTTTAGAATGGTGATCTTAGGCCAACTTATACATTTGTGGTCAATTGTATACCATATAGCCATCTCACCAAGGGAAAATAGTGAAATTGGGTGACAAGAAAGGAATGATGTGCTAGTCATTTTAATGACTAATTTTAAATGCAGGTGGATCATGTCACTTCCTCACTGAATCTGTCCAGCCACAACATTTCTGCTCCTTCTTCAGCTCCAGTTGTACAGCCCAGAATTGCTGGGTTCTCCACATGCAACTTGGGGCCCATGCTCTGTCCATGCTCCTTCCCCTCCCCAGTTTGCCTTCTTGTCCTGTACAACTTTCCATTTATTCAATAAGCCCCTCTTTCTGCCTGGAAGATTTCTACTCCTCACTTCAGATCTGGTTCCACGTCACTTCTCAGGAAACATTTGCTAGATCCCCCAGCCCCACATGCAGAAGAGAATTAATTACTTCTTCCACCTCCAGGGTGCTTCATGCCTGCCTATGTTATAATGCATATGACATTCTAGTAAAGTGCATACTTAGTCTGACTCCAGATCTAGCTAATGAGCTCCGGGGGGTGGGAGGGCAGATAGGGATCTTATTCTTCATTAAGAATATCTCCATCCATAGGACAAGATTGGCACATAGATCATCACAAATATTGGTCAGAAATGGATGTGCCAATTGGTGGGTAGCACAAAGGATGGATAAATGAATAAATGGAAAATACATGAAAAAAATAGTGAACATTTCCCCTAAGCCTTGCCCTGTACCTTACTGCCAACTAAAATACCAGGCAGAATTAATGTGCAACCCTGAGATGACCAGTAGAGTTAGGGTGAGGAGTGGATGGTCTCCATGACTACACAGATTCCCTGAGCAGTAGTCTTGGGAAATCAGGAAGGCCTTACAGGCAGACACAGCATGACAAATCTAATGGAAAAATCCATAATTCCACCAGAAAGATAGGTGTGTAAGTGTTCCCTTTCCATCCCCCAGACTACCTCCATCCCATAAAATAAATGTAACTGCATTTGTCATCAATAGGACTGAGCTGTCTTCTTCCACTATGGGAATTCCCTGGTACGGGCTGGCACCATTGCATTTCCTTAAACCAACCAGTAAAAAGATGGGGCATGTAGAATCTTTAAAAAGGAAAGATCCTGGTCCTGCCATTCACTGATTCAGACATTACTATACCCCTAGTCTCAGCCATGTACTCACATTCACACATACACAAATACACAGCATTTCTTCCTTCTACATCCTCTCAGTCAAAAAATTGACAAACCAGAGGAAGGAAACCCAGAAAGTTTTGATGGAGACAGAAAACATCTAAAGGTCCTAAGGCAAAAATAGGAAACAATAAGTCAAGACAAATCCCATCCTTCACTATTGATTTTTTAAAAATCTCATTATAAATGCAACTTGCCACATTTTGAAGGCAAAAAATAATTTGAACTGTATGAAATAAAAAGAAAACATTTCATTACTTTATCCCACCCCCTAATCCATAAAGCCTTCTCCCTCAAAGTGTCCACCATTAAGATTTTGCTATCTTTCATGATATACAATGACCTTTGAACAACACAGATTTGAACTGCATGGGTCCACTTATACAAAGATTTTTTAGTCTATAAATACAGTACTGTACTGTCAATGCATTTTCTCTTCCTTATGATTTTCTTTTTTAAAAAAGATTTATTTATTTGAGAGAGAGAGAGAGAGAATGACTAGGAGGGGCAGAGGGAGAGAGAATCTCAAGCAGACTCTGTGCTGAGTGCAGAGCTCAATGTAGGGCTCAATCCCAGGACTCTGAGATCATGACCTGAGCTGAAACCAAGAGTTGGACACTTAACCGATTGAGCCACCTAGGTGTCCCCTTATGATTTTCTTAATAACATTTTTTCCTAGCTTACTTTATTGTAAGAATACAGCATATAATACATATACAAGATATGTGCTAATTGATTGTTTATGTTATTAGTAAGGCAACAGGTGGCTACTAAGTTTTCAGGGAGTCAAAAGTCATGCTCAGATTTTCAATTGTGTGGGGGATCAG